GCCGATACCTCTGCGGACGCGGCCAGACTTGACCACGACAAGGAGACACAGGACACCAAGCTCGGTGACATTCAAGCCAAGCTGGCCGAGATGGAATCAGACAAGGCCGAATCGCGAGCTGCTAGTATCCTCGCTGGTCTTGGTTTCTCGGCCGAACGACAACAGTTTGCCACCAAGACGTTCTCTGGTGGTTGGAGAATGCGTCTGGCCCTTGCCCGAGCCCTTTTCTGTGAGCCCGACCTCCTGCTTCTGGACGAACCGTCCAACATGTTGGATGTCCCTTCGATTGCCTTCTTGTCAGATTACCTCCAGACCTACCCCAGCACCGTCCTCGTCGTCTCTCACGACAGAGCATTCCTCAACGAGGTTGCTACCGATATTATCCACCAGCACTCACAGCGACTCGACTACTACCGCGGAGCCAACTTCGACTCCTTTTACGCTACTCGCGAGGAGAGAAAGAAGGTGGCCAAGCGAGAGTACGAGACCCAAATGGCCCAGCGAGCCCATCTCCAGGCTTTTATCGACAAGTTCCGTTACAACGCAGCCAAGTCATCAGAAGCTCAGTCACGTATCAAGAAGCTCGAAAAGATGCCTATCCTCGAACCCCCCGAGGCCGAGTACAATGTCAAGTTTACATTCCCCGAGGTGGAGAAGCTGTCGCCCCCTATCGTGCAAATGTCCGACGTTACCTTTGGCTACAACAAGGACAATATCCTTCTACGACACGTGGACCTGGATGTGCAGCTGGACTCTCGAATTGGTATTGTTGGCCCCAACGGTGCTGGTAAGACTACGATCCTCAAGCTCCTCATTGGAAAGCTTGATCCTTCGTCTGGTCTGATCTCGCAACACCCCCGTCTCCGAATTGGATTCTTTGCTCAGCACCACGTCGATGCCTTGGATCTCAACGACAGCGCTGTGGGCTTCATGGCCAAGAACTATCCTGGACGAACAGACGAAGAGTACCGACGCCGACTAGGTGCCTTTGGTATCACTGGCACAACTGGTCTGCAAAAGATGGCTCTGTTGTCTGGAGGTCAAAAGTCCCGTGTGGCATTTGCTTGCCTGGCACTGACGAACCCCCACATCCTGGTGCTGGACGAACCTTCTAACCATCTTGATATCGAAGCCATGGACGCCCTGGCGCTGGCCCTCAACGAGTTCCAGGGTGGTGTTCTGATGGTGTCGCACGACGTGACGATGCTGCAGACTGTATGCACGTCGTTGTGGGTGTGCGATGGAGGTACGGTTGAGAAATTCCCCGGAGATGTGCAGCAGTACAAGAAGAGGATTTCTGCACAGGCGAATGCGGCGGGAGTTGTCAAGCAGCATTAAGCTGGATGCTATGTTAGTGTGAATGGAAGTTGTTCATGCTGGCAACACTGACAATACTGGCTCAACTCTGGACCGGACTGTGATGTGGACGTTGAACGTGTCAAGTCAACCAAGTGACCCAACCGCTACCATAATCCTAGCAGCTTCGTATCATCCTTCACCGTGTTAATAACCTCGGAATCTTAAATGTTGATCAACTGGTGTCAACGGTGGTCAGTTGCAAGTCGAGAGTGGGGCATCATGGCACCGGGCCGTCGGTTTCTGTGGCTGGTGCCGACATGAGGCTGCGGGTTAAACGTTGAATCTGCAAGCCGTGTATCTGTTGTAAAACATTAATTCCCGAGTCGAATTGAATATGGATATATCCGTCGAATACGTACGGAGTATACAATTCAGCTTCAACACGCATTGGATTGAGGCTCCTCATGACCAGTTGGCACCGCGCCTTGCCAGCTTGACACGCGCACGGACCAAGGGCCAGGTCAACAAAGAAGCATTAGTGGTCCAATCGCCTGGAAAGAACCTCCGTGCCCCTGTTTACCCCCTGGAACCGTGGCGGTGAACAATTTCGACTCCCGCCCTCGCTCCAAAAGTCAACATTCCCTTCCCCATAAACTACACCAACGTCCTACCTCTCCCAACCCACTTCCTCTCCCCCCATCTCGAAGCTAAGGCTCCTTCAGCTCTCGACGTCTTTGGCCCATTTCTTTCCTACTCCTCCAACCCCGTCCCACCACATCCGTCAACATGCGTGAGATTGTGAGTCCTCCCCGCGTCTTGTTGTTGCCGCCGCGTTGAGCTTGTGCCCCTGATTCTACCCCGCTAGGCGGCGGCTCGTGTAACGCCTGGTAGCTGCAGCTTCATCATGATCACCAACTAACGAGACTTTTCAAATAGGTTCACCTTCAGACCGGTCAGTGCGTAAGTATCGCGACGCCTGTTTAGCTTGTGGGATGCTCATAATTCGCAGGGTAACCAAATCGGTGCTGCTTTCTGGCAGACCATCTCTGGCGAGCATGGCCTCGACAGCAATGGTGTTTACAACGGCACCTCTGAGCTCCAGCTCGAGCGCATGAGCGTCTACTTCAACGAGGTATGTTGTCCGGTAGCTGTGCGAAATCTAGCTGACATTTGTAGGCCTCTGGCAACAAGTACGTCCCTCGCGCCGTCCTCGTCGATCTTGAGCCCGGTACCATGGACGCCGTTCGTGCTGGTCCCTTCGGTCAGCTCTTCCGTCCCGACAACTTCGTCTTCGGTCAGTCCGGTGCTGGCAACAACTGGGCCAAGGGTCACTACACTGAGGGTGCCGAGCTCGTCGACCAAGTCCTCGACGTCGTCCGCCGCGAGGCTGAGGGCTGCGACTGCCTTCAGGGCTTCCAGATCACCCATTCCCTTGGTGGTGGTACCGGTGCCGGTATGGGTACTCTGCTCATCTCCAAGATCCGCGAGGAGTTCCCCGACCGAATGATGGCCACCTTCTCCGTCGTTCCCTCTCCCAAGGTCTCGGATACCGTCGTCGAGCCTTATAACGCCACCCTCTCAGTCCACCAGCTGGTCGAGAACTCCGATGAGACCTTCTGCATTGACAACGAGGCTCTCTACGATATTTGCATGCGCACCCTTAAGCTGTCCAACCCCTCGTACGGCGATCTCAACTACCTCGTATCCGCCGTCATGTCCGGCGTCACCACTTGCCTCCGATTCCCCGGTCAGCTGAACTCTGACCTCCGAAAGCTCGCCGTCAACATGGTTCCCTTCCCCCGTCTGCACTTCTTCATGGTCGGCTTCGCTCCCCTGACCAGCCGCGGCGCCCACTCTTTCCGCGCTGTCAGCGTTCCCGAGCTTACCCAGCAAATGTTCGACCCCAAGAACATGATGGCTGCTTCTGACTTCCGCAACGGTCGCTACCTGACCTGCTCTGCCATCTTGTAAGTTTTGTTCTCTCCATACCGAGCAATCGCTAACATTTCCCAGCCGTGGCCGTGTCGCTATGAAGGAGGTCGAGGACCAGATGCGCAACATCCAGAACAAGAACTCGTCCTACTTTGTCGAGTGGATCCCCAACAACATCCAGACTGCTCTCTGTGCCATCCCCCCTCGTGGCCTTACCATGTCCTCCACCTTTATCGGAAACTCCACCTCCATCCAGGAGCTCTTCAAGCGTATCGGCGAGCAGTTCACTGCCATGTTCCGACGCAAGGCTTTCCTTCACTGGTATACTGGTGAGGGTATGGACGAGATGGAGTTCACTGAGGCTGAGTCTAACATGAACGATCTCGTCTCTGAATACCAGCAGTACCAGGATGCTGGCATTGACGAGGAGGAGGAGGAGTACGAGGAGGACCTTCCTGAGGGCGAGGAGTAAAACAGTCCGACTGATCCAATGACATAGCCGGCGTGCACTTCTTTTCGGTGTAGTGTTGTAATTCAGGGGTTAAGATATCCTCAATGGCAGTACCAATGTACTGGCCGATAAATTCAGAGTACCATTGTACCAATCATTCTAAGAATCAATCTCTAAGCTCCTGATGTGACTCAAGTTATTGTGCTTGATGCTGGAGATGACTTACAAGTAGAAGTCCATTTGAAGCTGAGCTTTGCCGACACGTGATTAGATGACTAAGCGAAAAAGTTGAGCCCATTGCAGGTCACCTTGTTCATACAACCGCATCGCAGCACACGACAGCCATTACGACACCAATGGCTGCCATGTTTGCTCCCAGCCGGGGGAGGCAATTGGGCCATGCCATTGCCTCCAACCCCGTCACTCTCCCCGGGTTTCTCGTACCGGCATGGCAGGCCACGACCCCCAAGATGGCGCCTCGGGCGACCGCCCTCTTCTCGACGACCTCGAAGCGACCCTCCAAGCTCGGCCGGACACCCCTCTCGATTCCTCCTGGCGTGGAGCTGACGATTGGCGAGCCTTTTGCCCGAAAGGACCTTACGACGTACAAGCGGGTGTTTAAGAAGACTATCAGTGTCAAGGGACCGTTGGGTGCGTTTACTTGAGGGATTGGAGGCTATGGTGCTGACTCGGCGTAGGAGAGCTTAACCTCGAGGTTCCTGAGTTTGTGACTCTTGATCAGGATACTGAGAACCGTATGGTTTCGCTCGGCGTTCAAGATACGGAAGTGAAGCAGCAGAAGGAGATGTGGGGTATGTATATTCAACCCCTCAGACGAACATGGCTGACAGCGCAGGCACATCGTGGGCATACCTCAAGAACTACATCATGGGCGTTTCGGAAGGCCACACGGCTATTCTTCGTCTTGTGGGTGTCGGTTACCGAGCGTCGGTCGAGGAGCGCGGAGCCAAGGAGGAGTTCCCCGGACAGAGGTTCCTATGTCTCAAGCTGGGTTTCACGCACCCTGTCGAGGAGGGTATCCCCAAGGGGGTGACTGTCACGACGCCGGCGCCCACACGTATCCTCATTGAGGGCATCGACCGCGAGGTTCTCATGTCGTTTGCTGGGCGGGTGCGCAAGTGGCGACCCCCGGAGCCGTACAAGGGCAAGGGCGTCTTCATCAACGACCAGACCATCAAGCTGAAGCAAAAGAAGATCAAATAGAGGATGTCGCCGACCTTTTGGTGTGGCCGGTTGGACGCAGACGCAGCTGGCGTGTGTATTCTAGTCTCGTGTACAACGTGTACTATCTTAGGGCATATACAAAAACTACTTTTTTTTTCTTTTCTTGCTCTCTCATCATCGTCTACTGCTTTGCGCTCAGAACCTCTTGAACTACTTGGAGAACCTTGTCGTGCACAGCAGCAGGGGCGGCAATGACGCCCTTGTTGTTGGCCAGAGTTCGTCCGACGCCAAAGTCGAGACGCTTGCCGTGAATGTCTGTCACCTGGCCACCGGCCTCACGGACGATGAGGTCGCCAGCAGCATGGTCCCAGATCTTTTCTTGGTAGGTGGCCTTGACGGGCAGACGGAGGTAAATGTCACCAGCACCGCGAGCGATGGAGCCGTACTTGGCTTGGCTGTCCATGCGGACGCTGGGCGCAGTGATGCCGAGCTTCTGAGAGATGAGGGCCTGGTCGTCATGAGCCGAGTGGCCAGCCTCGACACTCTCGCAGAAGGTAGCCTTGGCGAGATCGTCGATGCTTCGCATGGAAATGGACTTTTCGGGCGCAAGAGCACCGGCGGTCAGAGGTCGGCTGTTTGCGCCGTGAACCTGAACAGCAGAGAAGACAACACCGCGACCCTCGTCGGTGGCATTGGAGCCGATATCGCTGGTCAGACGAGCAGAGTCGTCGACAGGAAGGTTAGGGCAGCCGAGGACGCCAACCTTGACATCGCCGTCAACCATGAGTCCCAAGCAAACAGCGTATTGTCCACCACGGAGGAAACCCTTGGTGCCATCAATAGGGTCAATGGCCCAGATGCGACCAGAGTTGCCCCCCTTGCTGTTTCCTCGGTCGATGAGCTCAAGCATGTCGTCGACGTCCTTGATGGGGCCTCCGAGCTTGGCCTCTGCCTCTTCATCATCGAGCTTTGTATCCTTGACGAGATCCCAGATGGTCTGCTTCAGGTTGGCATCCTCACGCAGCTGAGCAGCCTCCTCCTCAGCGACGATGGCGTCATCGGGAAAGTTGTGGCGAAGGGCAGCAATGATGAGAGCCTGGGCGCCAAAGTCGCCAATGGTGACGGGAGACTTGTCGTTCTTGTCGACGGTGCCCTTTGCCTTTTCGTGAAAGACCCTCTTGGTGAGAATCGTAGCCCGCTGGACGGCCAGCTGAGCAATCTGAAGCTCGGAAGCGTACGCGGGGGCAGCCATTGTAGTAAAAGGTCTGTAGGAGAGGTGCGAGGAGAGAAGACGGAGGCGGGGGAGGATGGAGGGCGAGAGTAAGATGGCCAGGATGACGACCAGGAGGGAGAGGAAGAGTCTTAAAGAGTTGGAGACCCTGTACATTCGCAAACAGCAGAAGCGTGGGATGGAGGGATGGCGTCTTAGCGGGTCGTCGGCGGGCCGTCGGCTGGTTGGCTTTTCGAGAGTCAGCGGGATGTGGATGGATGGGATGTGGATGTGCGAGGGTCAAAGTGGGATGGAGTTGACGTGACGTGGGAGTGTTTCGGGATGGGTTCTGGATTGCGCAATCGCATGTGGCATGTTTATTGCAAATACAGCTGATTTTGTATCAACACTGCATGGTGATCCTTGAGTAAATGAGTATACAGCATTTCAATACTAACAATTCAATATCCAATTAATACTATCACCTCCCGTCTTGACAACTTCAACAATACCCCGCCATCCTCCGATACCGATGAGGGGCATCTCATTGCACTAACAATTTCTGCATCCCTCACCCACGGAACCACCCGATTGGTCAACATTTCAAGCATCAAACTCCATCCCAGCCTCACTCAAAACCATCAATTCTCCGACACCTCCATCTACAGTTGCAAGCCAACACATCATACCCGCTGCAATGGCATCCTCACCCTCCAACCTTCGCTCCCTCTACCGGTCCATCCTCCGAGAGCTCCCTCCCCGACCGATTCTCGCCTCTCCCCGCTCCTCGCTGCACACCCGCCTCCGCGACACTTTTGCTACTTCGTCGCCGACGTCGCAGGAGGCTAGAGCTCATGCTGCTGCTCAGGCTGTAGCCTACCTCCGCTCGCAGCGACAATATGCCACTCTACTTGAGCGATACAACCCCGGCATGGGAATGGATGAGGAGGAGCGTGTGCGATTGACGGCCCGAAGGGTTGGCATGGATTTGCCTATTGAGTACGCCAACAAGAAGTAATTGCGAAAACGAATTGAGAATTATCGATACACGCATACAACTGGGATAAATGCGCCATTGGATATGCTACATCGATAGACTCTGGCCGAAACACAACCTCCTCGATCATGAACCGAAGACGGGCACCGAGCCCATGTACGATCAAGTGTATGGAACAATGTACGAATGGAACGAGTGCAAGGAGGATACCCAATCATGAACCGACATCATCATCATATCTCATTCCATGCCATCAGATCAACAATTATATACAAAATAGAATCCAATGCTCAGCCTTTGGCCATAGGGGTATCAACATCTTATCTTCACTTCTAGACTCCTCCCACACCTCCATCTTCAAGCGACTCGTCCCATCCGCCCATCTGCAACAGCCACTCTCCCAGCCGCTCCTTGACGAGCGTGATATTCTCCCCCAGTGCGCTCCTCCACTGGTCTTGTACCACCCGGACCTTTTCCTTGAGGTCCTCGGTAAGTCGTCGTTCTTCTGACTGTCGCATGTGCTGTGCGCGCGCGTCACGGTCCGCCTTTGGAATTGGGTTTCCGTTCTCATCTTGAGTCTGAGTCTCCAGCACCTTGCCCTTGGCATGTACCACTGCTTCCTTGACCTCATGCAGCAGGCACAGCAGGTTGGTGTGCGATTCGATGAACTGATACGTGCTCTTCTCAGCATGGAGTATCAGACTAAACAGGTACTGCATAGGATGCTCGTGATATGACGGGTTCTCTTCAAACTCGGCAGCTGGGATCTGGATATTGAAGCCTTCCAGATCCACCGGGATGTTGTCCAGCAGTTCGCAGAGCGGAGGTGCAATGTCCCAGAACGCCGACAGCTGCAGTGCGACCCCACGTTCCACAGCCTTTTCAACGACACCTCGGAAATCTCGTGTCCTTTCCAGAACCTCATGAGCATATGCATACTCGCGCTTGGCCGCATCTTCTGCGAAAAAGGCCTCTGCTGACTTGAGCTTCTCGGTATTGCCCGAGAGTCGGTACGGGGTCAGCACGACACCGCAGTATCGGCTGTTGCGATCGGAAAGCAGATCGTAGATGGCTCGATGGAGGCCTTCGCGCGCCTCAAAGATCCATTTGAGCAGAGTCAGCTTTTCCAGCAACTCTGGTCTATCATCACCCTCCTCTTGTGGCATGTCGGCATCGATGTGTCCATTGTCAATCAAGTGACGAGCCAGATCGTCAAACAACTCTGTAGCACGCGAGATGCGCCCCATCAGCAACTCATTCAGGGGTAGCACCACCTGGTTTTGGAATTGCTCGTATTCTGACTTTTCAAGCTCCTTCTTCTTGGAAATTTCGTTCGTTTGCGTATCCGATTCAATGACAGCTGCGTCCGAGTAGCTCAGACTGCCAGAGTTGATCTCATTCTGTAGGTTGGTCCTCAAAGCCTGGCGACGCTCAGATGCAGCTTGGGCAAACTGCTCGCGACGCTGGGTACTCTCGGTCTCAAACTTTTCCTTTGTCTTGGTCACTTGATCCAGCTCGCTCAATGCTCGCACGGCAGTTCGGATCGAGGTCAGTTCAGGATGATTATTGTTGACGGCCGGATGGTGCCTCGGATAAGGGGGCGGCATCGTGACAAGGCGGGAAACGTCCAGGTGCTCTCGGTTGACCGTTGAACACGGACTCGACCCCAGGTTAGACGTTGATGTGGAAAAGGCACTGGGCTGTGGGGTTAAGCTGGGCTCTGACTGATCATGCCAACCCGTCTTCTCAGGGGGGTATTCAGAAGACGAGCCTTGGTCTTCGTAGACCGCTGGGGGTTGATCCCCCTCGACCCATTGCGTCTTTGTCACACCCATGTACTTGGATTCTCTCTTGGATCGTTCGAGGTGAGACGGGTTGCCTTGAGAGTCTGTCTCCCACCAACGGCTTGGGGGTCGTCCTCGAGAGCTGCCGTTCTCATAGTTTTCGCTCACGCTCATACTGAGAATCGGGGATAGTGAAGGCATGTAGTTGGTAGCCCAGTTGAGGGCAGGCGGATTGGCTCCATTCGGAGATACAGGGACATTGGCTGAGCCAGGAGCTGACTGAGAGCTCTCCCCCTGAAAAGCAGAGCTGGCAGATCCTCGACGAGAGCGTGTCGGCTCGGAAAATCCAGGTGTCAATCCATCTTGCGAAGTACCTGAAGTTCGTCTTTCTGTCGCCATAGGTCGGAATAAATCTCGTGTCAGGTCAAAAATCTCTGAGCCCATAGCACCGATGGCATTCGAATATCGCTCTCGTCGGACCCTCGACTCATTGACAATAAAGTCTGCGAAAAGGCGCACCCTGTCTGCATCTGTGGCGGCTCTCGACTCCTTGGCTGCGAATTCTCGGAAACGCTCAATTGTGTCAGTCGCAAACTGGTCGGCAGTCTGCGTTACAGCTAGGTGCTTTGGAACCGCACGGCCAGCTGATGGCGGCCGGGACGATTCCCGCACTCTCGAAACCGATGCAGCAGATCCAGATCGAGGAGGCGGAGTAGGAAGAGCCTTTGGCGCAACCGCTTTCGAGCTGGCATACTGCGGTTGCTTAGCAGCGTTAGGAGAGAACGGGGGAGTTTCTGCTTCTACTTGAGGTAGCTTTGCCGATCCCAGAGCCCTGGGTGTTGAATCCCGAGAGTCCTGCGAAAATGCATCGGTCAAAGGTGTTGACTTGCTAAGCGTCGACCGAGCAAGATCACTCGAGCTAGGTACCACGATATCCGCCATAGATTCTGGTCGAATCCGCTCATCGACTGAACCCCTAGTGCTGTGTCGGTTTCGACTTTCGTTTCGTCTCTGCAGGATCGTCTTGTCGTGGCGCACTGCTTTTTGACGGTTCAAACTACTGACACTAGACGAGGACGCCACAGATTCTAGCTGCGGATTGGGGTTCACCGATGTGTTCAGAGTCAATGCGGGTGAACGTCCCCGTCCTGGCGCATTCGGCTGGTCGCTGTCAACCCAATCTGCTGGTGTCGGGGGGACAGGGCCAAGGTTCGTCACGCCGGCTGGGGGTCGGCGCCGTGTCGGAGGAGATATAATGGGAACAACATTTCTATCCATACTCTGAACACTTTGCGACCTCCCAGATGGAGGAGGAGGTCCAGGAGGTGGCGGCGGGAGAGGCATGCCTGGTTCCCATCTTGTCTGGGAGGCCGAACGTGAACGAGCCGACGTCGGCGTCTCAATAGCACCTGCTGAAACAGCCCTTCGAGCTGCCGGTGGACCGTGGGGAAAGCCAGCCGCTGCATCGGGATTTTGCTGATTAAAGGAAGGTTGTATTATCATGCTCTGTCGGTGATTATGAGCCATATGTGTTTGAGGAGGACTAGTTGCTTGCTCGACATCTCTTCGCCGTGCCAATGTGGGTATACCGAAACGACGTTCGCGCGAGTTGCCACGGCCACCTGGAGGGGGAGGAAACGACGGGTTGGCTATTTGCGGTTCGGGAGAAGGTCGATGCATTGCGGTGTTGATCCTCGGCGGCGGTGTCGAAGCAGGGGTGGAATCATATATACTCATCGGACGCTGCTGTTGCTGACTCCTGGGGGGACTATATGGTGGGGGAGGGAGTGGTCCAACTGGATGGTGTTAGACAAGAGGGACAGTAGAGCAGCAGACTTGCCTTGGGCTTCGCCTGCAAATTGAACTGGACGCTCGGCGACGGCGACGGCAGCTTGTGAAGGAACCCATTCCTGAGGGTTGTAAGGCTGAATGGTGCTACTGCCGGGCGTTTGGGCGGCAGACTGAAGGTGACTGGAGCTCATGGACACTGCGGATATGGGCGAATGCAGGGAGCTGTTGAAGACACCGAGTGTGGTGGTCAAGGGATGAAGGCCCTGACGGAGTCGCGCCGGATCGCGAGAAGTCATGATGAAGACTGGAAGAGCAGGCGACAATGGTTTTACTCGACAGTCCAGATCCCTGGTGGTGACTGTGACAACTGCGTATCACCGCAGTGCTCTTGCTAGCTGGCTGGCTTGCGTGGGGTGCTGGATCGGCGGGGTGGCGGTTGGTGAGCCCGGGCGCGTGCAAGTGAGTCGATGCTCAGGTGAGAGAAGCGACAAAGTCGGCAGTCGAGAGATGGAACAGGCTGTG